ATGAGCGATGCGCGCCAAGTCTGTGAACCTTCCTCTTGGAAGCCTGTTTCCGAACCTGAACCTTCCCTCCTCTCCTCGCCGTCCTCCTTGGTTCCCCCGCGGCATCGCCAATGCCGAGGTTGACGGCAGAAGCGCACGGAAGGCCACCGACGGCACCAAGGCCTCGGCGGATCTCCTCTGCAACAACAGGCTCCGGGGCGACCGCCGCAACCCTGCTAACAGAGATAGCACAACCCAGATCGGACTCGATGACAATCTGCAACTGAACCGACCCCTCGAGGAGATCCTAGGCGGCCGCTCTGGCACGACCAGTGCACGAAAGGGTGTAGTCGCCAATATAAACTCGCAAGGAAACCGATCTGGGAAGACTAGGGCCGTCAAAGGCCGCTAACGTGAAGACGCGAATCAGCGTGGTCGCGAAACCACACCCAGCTACGAGCCCTCGCCATGCAAACCGTGGGCCGTCAACACGGCCGTGCATCGCCATATATCTGCAGGCGCGGTAAGCCGTGTAGCAGACACGCGCGATCTGCATAGGAAAGTTAAGCTGGCGGCAGCGGGCGAGGAGCAGGTCCAGGTCGACGGGTTCGTAGAACTTGAGAAGGTCCCAGAGCACCGACGACGAGCAATCCTGGGACGCGACCGCGACCTCACTCCTGACCCCTTGCCTCCAGACCGTATCCACACTAGAGGCAAACGCGCCAGCGCAGAAATTCCCACGGGCATTATCAGCTTCCGACTGACGGGCGCACGACCGACGAGCCCTGGCCCAGAGACGGTAGATCGAGACGAACAGGCCGATCGGGCGGTGCCCACCGTCGGGCTTGGAAAGCATGATAAGAAGCACGACATTCATCTGACCAGGGAGCAAACCCGATCGTTCCCAGATCGAGATCATAATCGATAAGGTGCCCAAGGACCGATCCGATACATGCTGGAAATGAGAGACGTGGAACCCATCAACCGACGAAGCCGCATGTTTGGGGAAGGAGCGATACACTCGGCGGAGGTCCTCCACCGACAAGTCAGGGAGGGGTTCCAAAGCTTCAAAAACAGCACCGCTCTGGGGAGCCTCAGGCTGGGACTCCGCATGCCAGGTGCGCGAGAATTTTTCGAGCTCGGAGGGCAGGGGGGCCCAGGGTCCGAGACAACTTCACCTTTGGCACTCAAGGTGGTAGTCGGCGTCCAACCAGGGGCCCCCCGAACAACTCCGTGGGCGTGGCGGGCCCATTCTCGATGTCGTGACGGATCCAACCCAACCAGCTCCTATGATCTTCCTGCCTGGCCGCGCTCTCAGCCTCAGCCAGGGCCTGGGAGACCAGATCGAGGGCCCTCATAAGTTCCCCTTGGACGTCACAACTATCGAGAGGGCTGAAAGTAATCATGTCCTGCGCGGCCTGGAGGTGGGCGAGGGCGTCTCCATCCCACGGGCCAAGCCGAGAGGGGGGGTGCATCAGCTCACCCGCCGTGCCCCTCAGATGCTGCTGTCTGCGCGCCTCAGGGCAAGGGGCGGCCGCACCGCCAAGGGAGCTCGTGCTCCCAGTACTGAGACCATGCTTGTCGACACTGCTACGAGCAAAACGCGGAGAGGAGGAAGGCGCCAACTGCGGGTCCGAGGTTTGAATTCCCAGACCTAGCAGCTGAAGCCAAACACGATACCTGCTGCAGAGCCATCTCAATCGCGAGGCCTCCCTCGACGCGCTGGAGGTCCCCGCCATCGAAGTGTGCGACGCGTCGGCGACACTGACCCAGTGCAGCTGTGGCTGGCGGCCCCTGCTACCCCGGAACGGCAGGGCCACCTGAAACGCAGACTCTAGCTCTTGTTCAGCGGCCACACCCCATTCACGATACAAAACATCGAGGTTGAACTGAGCCTGGTCGGACGATCCATTCTCGGCCACAGCAAGAGCACGAGAAGCCAACTTGGAAAGAAACCCCCACTGTCGAGGGGGCTCAGGAAGGACCAGGGGGGCGGTTCTTGGGAAGAGGGGGCGGCGGGGTCCTGAAGGCGAGGGCACGGAGGGAGGCGAGTTGCGGGTGAAGCTTCGCGGCGGCAGGATCATGGGTAGCCAAGCCCGAATCGCTGATTATCTTCACGCTCTCAATCGCTTGCGCCACTCGCGCCTCGACCAACATCCAACCATGCATTTTGATTCCCCCTGTGGACCGACAAATGCCCATCACGCCTGCAGGGCGGCAAACATCAGCCCCAAGCCTTGCAGGAACAAAAGAGGAGCACAAAATAGACGGCTCCATGTTGACATCACCTCCGATGACATATGGGGCGCCCAAGCTTTTCGCCCGAGACGCCACGCACGCCAGAATATCCCTGTTGGTTTCATTCAAACCGACGCAATCCTGGAGATAAGCACTAACCACGTAAAAGCTGGCCTGGCCAGGGAGGTGAACCAGGGCCAACACACCAAGCCTCAGCCTTGCGGCGGTCCTCGTAGCTGATGAGCTTGTGCTCCTGACACAGCACGACGTGCGACGTCGTCAGGGCTGAAAACTTATTGAGAGTTCCAAGTCGTGCAATTCGCGGTGACGAACTCCATACCCAACTGATCCCAGGAAGATTCGACTTGCGACCGATGATGTCCAGCAGTGACTGGTGCATCCAAAACTGGGCAAGAGGATGGGAGCATGGGGCAAGAGGGGTCCGTCACAGCGCTGTTGTCCAGACGACTTGGGCTTGGCAGGCGGACCGGCAGGCATCTTGGGCAAGACAGGTGTGCCTGCGCCTCGCTGAACAGATTCGCGCGCGGCGGCTCGAACATCGGCCGCGGACTTGGCTGCAGGCGGCGGCGGCTGGCTAGCCGCTGAAGGCGAACCGGCGGCAGCTGCTGCTGGGGCCCCACCACCAGCGCTGGCTGCTGCGGCATTAGCCTCAGCAGGGGCTGCCTCAGGTGCTCCAGCAGCCGCAGTGCCTGCGGCCTCCGTGTCATCCGTCTTGCGCTTCTTGCCGAACTAGCGGTCCTGCTGGGCCTTGTGGGCCGCCTTGTGCTCCTCAGCGCGCTGCTTGATGTCGCCGAAGAGCTTCGTGCAGCACGACCTGATGTGCTCAGCCATCTGCTCCTTGCGGCGGGTCGCCTCCTCCAAGTCCTGCGGAGAAGCTTCCACGCCAACTTGTTCCAATCCAAACAGTCCCCCATCATCGACTTGCAGCCCAGTGAGCCGTCCCTCGAGAATGTCGTTGAGGTTGATAGACGGGCCAGCTGGCTGAGGATGAGCGGCAGGCTGCGCGACCGACAAGTGCAGCTCCGCGATGGCATCTTTGTAATCCACGTCGTACTTCTCCAATTCTGCAAGAGTAGACTCCAGCTGGCCTCGCAGGTTGGACAACTTCTGCTCCATAGCGTGCACGACCTTGGGATCCTTATCCAACTTTTTCTCAAGTCTAGCAATCTCTTTCTGCGCGTTGTTCGCTCTCTCCTGCGGTGGCACAGACGACGCCTTGAGCTTGTCCAACTCCTTCTGTGCCTGCTGCAGCATGTCGTTGTTGCCCGTGCGCTCACACAACTGCACGAGCTGCTCGAGATCCGACTTGCTGGGCGGCGCAGGGGCTGGCGTCGCAGCTGGTGCAGCAGCGGCTTCACCTGCGGCGACTCCAGCAGCGGTGCGACGAAGTGCTGCTGGATCGCCACGAGCCGTCCTGTCGTCTGCGGGGGCGGACTCGACAGGCGCGTTCCACCACTTCTTGCAATGTTTGCAATATTGAAAGTAAGATCCGTTCCTCTTGCACCCACAATGGCGGCATTGCCAGCGGGGGCCGCGACTGCTGTCGCCACCGCCGCCGCCACGAGCGCCGCCCATCGCAAGTGCGCCGTAGTGCGAGCGACCGAGCCAGAGGGGCCCGCTGTCAGCCAGCCGTTTTGAAGTGTCGGCGACAGCAAGCTCAAATGATTGAGCCAAAACGGCTACGAGGAGCAGGAATAGGAGAAGGAGGAGGAGGAGGAGGAGGAGGAGGAGGAGGAGAGTCTCGTGTTTGTTTCACAACGCGAGGGGGTCTGGGCGTCCGCCACCCTCCGCCGCCCGTCCGCCAGCTGCCGCTGGCGGCAGGGGGCCGCGTTTTACTGCCGCCGCCTCCCGCCGACCTTCCGCCGCCTTCCGCCGATGGAGAGAGGACAACTCCTTCGCCCTCTGAAGGCAAGGCCTTGTTTGGAACGCCTCAAAATATATAGGCACAAATCCTAGGATGACCTCTATGTTTCAACATGTTCTGGAATTTCGTCCCCCCCACATCCAGTATTTTCACGCATACTTTTGGACATCAACGATTATTTGTCTGTGCCCTTGTTCCCTCCTGAAAAGAACCGTCCAGAAGAACAGTGATCGCGTTGGGAGAAAGGGGGTTGGGAAGATATATGGCGCGACTGCGTAATGAGCACATTCAACATATGCGCTGATACGGATGACCTGATCAATTCGCCCAGCCCCATCCTCCCAACCCGATAATCCCAGACCCCGCCACGTCATGATTTTTCCATCGAATCGACCCCAACTGCCTGGACCCATTCCCCGGCACCGGCTCTTCGTCCTGAATTTTCGATCCCGAAAATAGCGAAAACCTTCCCATTATGTTTCTGTCACGACGCGAGGGGGTCTGGGAATGTCTTGCTGGACCGTTGGAAAAAGGAATCCAGGGTCTGGAAGCCGGTGGGCCCAATTGTGGACTGGCCATGGAAACCACGGCCGCCCTCGTCAGCTCAGGAGCCCTCCACTGCTCGAAGCCGCCGGGGCACGCTCCTTCACCAACGCCCCTGACCGTAAGGCCACAAGGGGCGCGGAGATCAGGGCTCGACCAAAAAAGTGCTTGTTGGTTTCGTTGTGTTCTCGTCTCTCCTCGTCTCGTCTTCCGTCCGCCCCTGCTGCAAACCGAAGAGTCGAAACGAGAACGGCCCACGGAGTCGCCCGAACGCCGTGGACAGGTCGACCCGCGCCAGGGCATACGCCCCCCCACCGGCGCCCCCCGCCGCACAGGCCAACGGCAGGCGCGGATGTCACCCGTGCGCCAGGACGGAGGCGGGGCGAACGCCCCCGCGCCAGAGGGCCTGCTGCCGCATCTCCAGGCGCGTGTCGGCCGTGGCCACGCGCTGCACCGCCAGCCGCCGCTGCCCGGCCAGCCAGGCGCGGCTCAGGCGGCCGACCAGCCGCTCGTCGTACGCGGCACGCAGCAGCTTCTCCGGCCCGGGGCCTCTGCGCGGCTGCGGGCGGCGGCGCGCGTCGGGGCGGGGCTCCACAGGTCGGAAGGGGGCGGCCTTCTGGGGACATCGCCGGGTGTACAGCTCGATGCAGCTGGGCTCGCCCCTCGGTGGATCTCTAGCTCGCTCCGCGCAAGTCGTTCGGAGAAGAGTCGCAGGACGGGGCTACGATGGTGAACTTTTGCTTCGCGTGTCGCGGCGGCGGAGCCGGCGACGCGCTGTGCCTTGCAGCAAGCGGGTCGCGCTTCGCTCCGCTGCGCGGGGCAGGAGGCTTCGAAAGGCGCGGGACGCTGACGCTCGAGGAGTGGGAGGTGGAACGGCGCGTCGCGCCGAAGCGCGGTGGGCAAGAACCCGCAAAGCGACACGCTAAGCCAAAGTGCCTGACCACGAGGAACCCTTGGACAATGAATCCAGGGCCTGAAGCCGGTGAACACCAACCGAGGCTGGGCCGTGGATATCAACGCCGACCTCCCCAGAGAAGGAACCGTCCAGGGCCTGAATAGGGGAACAAAAAGTTGCATAAACATAAATACCTATACGACCACCCTTCGGGTGATAAGGAGGTTCGGGGGGGGAGGAACCAACGTCTCACTCGATCGGTCTCACTATCGATCTCACTATCGATCTCAGTATCGGTCTCGCTCGATCGATCTCACAATCGATCTCACTCGATCTATCTCACAATTGATTTGACTATCGATCTCACAATCGATCTCAAAATCGATATCACATTCGGTCTCACTATCGATTTCACTATCGATATCACAACCGCTCTCACAATCAACGTCATCATCATCATCATCATCAACAACAACAACATCATAATCAACATCATCATCTCATCCTCATCATCGACATCATCATCATCATCAGCATCATCAACATCATCATCAGCATCATCATCGTCGTCATCATCGGGGCACCATCATCATCATCATTAACAACATCAGCATCAACATCATCATCATCACCATCGGGACGCCATCATCATCAACATCATCACAATCACCATCATAATAATCATCATCATCGGGACGCCATAATCATCATCAACCTCATCATCATCAACATCATCAGCATCGGGACACAATCATAATCAGCATCATCAACATCAACATCATCATACTCATCACCATCGGGACACCGTCATCGTCATCATCATGATCATCAACATAATCATCATGATCATCATCATCCTCATCATCGGGACACAATCAGCATCATCATCATCATCATCATCATCGTCATCATCATCATCGACATTATCATCATCATCATCATCATCATCATCATCATCATCATCATCATCATCATCATCATCATCATCGGGACACCATCATCATCATATCATGATCATCATCATCATCATCATCATCATCGTCCTCATCATCATCAGCAGCATCACATCATCATCATCGACGTCATCATCATCATCATCAGCAGCAGCATCATCATCAGCATCATCATCATCATCATCATCATCATCATCATCATCATCATCATCATCATCATCATCATCTCATCATCTCATCATCATCTCATCATCATCATCATCATCATCAGCATCAGCATCATCATCATCATCATCATCATCATCATCATCATCATCATCATCATCATCATCATCATCATCATCATCATCATCATCATCATCGCGGGACACCGCGGGACACCGGCGGGACACCGCGGGGCACCGCGGGACACCGCGGGACACCGCGGGACACCGGCGGGACACCGCGGGCCACCGGCCGCCCGGAAGGGAGACATTTGGTCCGGCCGCGCCTCAGCCACACGGGACACCAGCGGGACACCGGCGGGACACCGCGGGCCACCGGCCGCCCGGAAGGGAGACATTTGGTCCGGCCGCGCCTCAGCCACAGGAGAGTTTCTCTCGCCCGCCCACGCAGCTTCGCCTCGCCCGCACGCACGGCACGCACGAACACGAAACCGAAATCGATTTCCTGGTAGGGGGGCTCTCCGTTCCACTTCGATCTCACCCCCTCACCTCCGATCCCAGTGCGACCCTACCTAGGAGTTGGAGCATTTAGGAAAGCAACATCTACATCTACACCGACACGATGCTATGCTATGCTATGCTATGTTATGCTGTACTATGCTATGCTATGATATGCTGAGCTATGCTATGTTATGTTATGATATGCTATGATATGCTATGATATGCTATGCTTGGCTATGCTATGCTATGGTATGATGTGCGAATGCTGCGCTGCGCTATGCTGCGCTAAGCTAAGCTAAGCTAAGGTAAGCTAAGCTATGCTAAGCTAAGCTGAGCTAAGCTAAGCTAGGCTAGGCTAAGCTAAGCTAGGCTAGGCTAAGCTAAGCTAAGCTATGCTAAGCTAAGCTAAGCCAAGCTAAGCTAAACTAAGCTGAGATGAGATAAGCTAAGCTAAGCCAAGCTAAGTTAAAGTAAGCTAAGCTCAGCTAGTATGGTACAAGCTAGGCTAAGCTAAGCAAAGCTAAGCTAAGCTACGCTAAGCTAAGCTAAGCTAGGCTAGGGCAGGCAAAGCTAAGCTAAACTAAGCTAAGCTAAGCCAAGCTAAGATGAGACAAGCTTAGCTTAGCTTAGCTGGGTGAACCCAGGGAGCGCAACTGGGGGAACCGCGGGGCGGATCCTGGGGGAACCGCCCGGGGCGAGCCCTAGGTAGGGAAAAACTCGGCGGTCCGCGCGGATGTCTCGGATCGGCGCTGAACCCCCCTCCCTGGCGCGCGGAGCGCGCCAGGGGCGGCGCCGGAGGCGCCGCCAGGGGGCCCCAGCGCGGATCCGAGAAACCCGCGCGGACCTCCGAGTTTTTATTTCTATGTCACCTTGCGTTCCCCTACTGAAGCCTCCTGGGCACATTCCTGAACGCACGACGCCCCCACCGCAGGTCGGGCCGAGGCGGCCTCCTGAGGGGGCCCCCACTGCTCCTGGGAGGGTGCTGGTCGTTTTTGTTTGGGGGGGAGGGAGAGGATGGGAGCGGACCGCACGATTCAAGAACCGCCGTCGAGACGCGAGTGCCGGTTGCACTTGAAAGCCGTTTTCTTCCTCACCAAGCGTGTGGAAACGGACGCAAGAAGCGACAAAACAGAAAACACAAGACCGCGGGTCGTGACCGCGGCCGCTCGAAGGGCGGGCCCCTTCCAAGAAGGCCCCCAGCCTTCGCGGAAGGAGGCCGGCCCTCCCCCCCCCGAGCGCTGCCCCCTCCCCGCCACTTCGCTCGCCGCCGACACGAGGGGGACGGGGACGAGGGGGGCGGCGAGGGCGAGGGCGAGGACGAGGGGGGGACGAGGGCGAGGGCGAGGAGGATACGAGGACGGGGAGGATACGAGGACGAGGAGGACGAGCACGAGGAGAGGACGAGGGAGGGGGGGGAGGGGGGACGGGGGCCTGTGCCAGGAGTCCAGTCCTGGAACATGTGGAGCAGGTCGTCGATCGACCTGGCCTGAGTGATGGCCTCCTCGCGGCACGCCAGCGTCGCCAGCGCGACCCGGAAGAGGGCCTCGACCCCATCACAGAGCATCGCGTCCCACACCCGCCTGAGCGTCTCGCCCTCCATCACTGTGGCATAGAGGCATAGGAACCACTTCGAGACGACCATCAGCAAATCGAACCTGTGGATCTGGAACGTCCGGTGGACGTCCGGAAGCCGTGCCCGCACGAGGTCCTCCAGCACGACAGTATCCGCCCGAAGTTGTCTCATGCCATCTGTGTACCAGCAGCGCGCCCCCAACTTCACGAGCGTCTGCCGCATCGCGGGCAGCGCCAGCCGGTCCTCGCGCAGCACCATGATGAACACGGCAGCGACGAAGTTCAGAGACTGGCAGTAGCCCAACTCCGCATCATCCAGCGCCAGCTGCCGCAGCACGCGCCGGAGCTGGTCGGGCCCGCCCATCTGCTGGAAGGCCGCGTTGTTCGGGAAGGTACGCAGCACGTCCGCCTCGATCAGCTCGCCCACGCCTTGGGGAAGCGCGGGGCCAGCGCCTGGCGAAGCCGATTCCACCTCCGCCTCCTCGGCGGTTGCGCTGTCTGGGCGCTGCTCCTGTGCGCGCTCTCTGGGCCCGTCGTGCTCGGCCGCCGAGGCCTCAGACCGGCCACCCGCCCTCGCACGCTGAAGCTCTTCCAACGCCGTGGCCTCGAGACCCGCCGCTGAGAGGGGCGCTGCGCCACTGGCCACTGCGCTCCCTGGCGCCTCGCCCTCCGGCGCGCGCGCCGACGCCGCTCCCTCTGCAGGCTGCAGCTCTGCCGCCACGGGGCGCTGCCCGGGTTCCGCGAGCGCCTCCGAGGTGGCTGCGCCACCATCCTCCCCAGACCCGAGACGTCGTGATTTTTTCATGACGCGACCCCCAGAGGTCCGGACCTCTTCGCCGGGACCGGCTTTTCACCCCGCGTCGTGTTTTGACGGCCCCGAGGGCCGGGAAGGGCCCCCGGAGGCCGAACACACAGAACATCCTCGCACGCGTGACTCTTTCATGACTCGAGGGCGTCTGGGGCCTCCGTGCCCTGGGCCGGCGCCTCGGGGGCGGCGGCGCCGCCCGACTCCGCCGGCGCCTCCGCCATGATGGGCTCCGCCGCCGGGGCCGCGGCGGGCTCGGCCGCCGCCGCGCTCGGCTCCGGCCCGCCGGGCCTCTCGGGCTCCGCCGGCGGGGCCGGCGCCGCCTCGCCGGCGGCCTCGGGCTCGGCCACCCCCGCAGCCGCAGGGGCGGCGCCCGCGGCCCGTGCTGCGGGCGTCGCCTCCTCCGCGGGGCGCGGAGCTGGCGGCCCTGCCGCGGCCGCCGCGGCAGCGGCCGCGCCCGCTGGCGGAGCAGCTGCTGGCAGCGGCTCCGCCTCGGCGGCCGCTGCCGCCGGCGCCGACGCGGCAGCCTGCCCCCTGGCATCCATCGACGGCGCTGCCACACTGGCCGACGGGGCAGACGCTGGCACAGGCGGCGCCGCCGCGGCCGCGGCAGGAGGCCGCAACGGCTCGTCCCGCTGCAGGCCCACAGACGCCCCTGGCGACGGGCGGCCCGAGCTGCTGCTGCCGCCGCCGCACGTGCTGGTGGACAGCTCATCGAGCCCGAGGCAGTGGGCCCAGACCTCCGCCCGCAGGGCGTCGGGGACGCCCCGGCGCATCAGGGCCGGCAGCGCCTTGGGGTCCCGCAGGCGCGGGTTGGTGGCGCGGTAGGCCTTTCGAGGCCTCCCGGAGGGACTCCGAGCAGATGGGCTCGGAGGATCGCGCCGCATCGGCGATGCGTCGGCGACGCATCGGCAAAAACATCGGCGATGCGTCGGCGACGTCGGCGGTGCAACGACGACGCCCGCGCGGAGCGAATCTGGCCCCGCATGGAGCCGCACCTGCGATGCACCGGCGACCGCGGCGCGGTCCCCCGACCCCACCTGCTCGGGCCCCATCTGGGAGGCCTGCAGAGCGAGCCTCTCGGCGCGCGCACCAGGGGGGACGGGGGAAGGGGGAAGGCTTCGCAGAAGGAGGCGGATGCTTCCTGGAAGGCGCCGGCGCCTGCCTCTCAGAAGGCCCGCGGCCCTACAACATCTGCAGAGAATGCGGCCCGCGCCTCCTGCAAGAAGCAGGGGCGCGTCCAAGCAGCATCCCCCCCCCCCTCCCCGTGCCCCCCCTTCTGCGCGTGGCCGAATCTGCTGGGCTCTGGGTGGCTCTCGGGGCCATCTCGACTCGGGCCTCGGGCGGCCGTCCGGGATGACTGCGGCACCCCGGGAGGGCCCTCGGAGAGGAGCAGCTGGCGGGAGCCGCCCCGCTCCCCCGAGAACCTCCGCAGAGCCCTCGCAAGCCCCAGACCCAGACCCCCGACGTAATGATTTTCTCATTACGTCGACCCCCAGAGGTCCCGACCCTTTCCCCATGACCGGCTTCGCACCCTGAGTCACGCTCCCGAGGCCCGGTGAGGGCCCCCGGAGGCCAAAAGTTAGGAAAAACCTCCCGTCATGCATTTGTCAGTACTCGCGGGGGTCAGAGGACACACACACACACACACACACACACACACGAAGTCGAGCCTTCCACTTCGAGGCGAACTCCTCGGCCAGCTCCGCCGCGCCCTGCGCCCGGCGGCCCGCGGAGGGGGCGCCCTGCGCGCGGCGGGGCCGCCCGCCGCCCTTGGGCGAGGCGGCGGGCGGCTGCAGGACGGAGCGCAGGTCGTGGATGCCCTGCAGCACGAGGTCCATGGCGGCGCCCCGCGGCGGGCCGGGCGAAAGGGGGGGATAGCAAAGGGGGGGTCTGAGAATCAGCTCACGTAGCTGATTCTCCTGGCGCCTCTCGGCGCCGGGAGGCGCCCACGTGTCGAGGAATGGGCCCGGCGGCGGGGCCGAAACCAGCTGCATGCAGCAGATGTAGTAACCCCCCCTTTCCCTATCCCCCCCTTTCGCTCGGCCCGACAGCGGCCAGGCGCGCCCCGCGGGTGGGCGAGCTGCGCCACGAGGACATGCACACAGGCCCCCCCCCCCGCCGAGCTCGGCAGGTGCCCTCATGGAGGAGGGCGGCGCTGGGGGACGAAGTTGCTGGCTCCCAGCGGTGGTGGTCCATACTCGGCGGCGAGCGCGGGAAGGGAGCAGGAGCGGGCCTGCTCGGAAGGCTCGGAAGTCCCCCCGGCCTTCTGCGAAGTGTTCTGAGCCTTCCCCTTCACAGAAGGCGCGAGGGCTGCTGAGAAGTCCCGCCACCTTCTGAGAAGGCCTTCTCCCTCTAACTTCCCCCCCTCGCTCGCCGCCGATCTACACCGCCACCCTCCCCTGAGGCCCAGGAACGATTCATTGGAGGGTGCCTGCGTACATTTCTTTGTGGCGGACGAGCGCCCAGGCCAAGCTGGACACGGACGACGAGAATCGGGGAGCCGAAACACTTTCAACGACACGCCGCCGCGGCGCAGCCGCGGGTGGGCAAGCCAAAGCTGGGTACGGTCAGGTCGGGCCTGTCACCCCCCCACACAGGGGGATTTTGGGCGAACAACCAAGCATACGCACAAAAAAAATGATACCGGAGAAAAAAACCAATCAGATTTTTTAGGGCTATCGGGCTATCGGGCTATAGGGCTATCGGGCTATAGGGCTATAGGGCTATCGGGATATAGGGCTATAGGGCGATAGGACTGTGACCTATAGGGCCATAGGGCTATAGGGCTATGGGGCTATAGAGCTATATGGGCTATGGGGCTATAGGGCTATGGGGATATAAGGCTACTAGGGCTATAGGAATATAAGGCTATAGGGCTATAGGGCTACAGGGCTATCGGGCTATAGGGCTATCGGGCTATAGGGCTATAGGGCTACTGGGCTACTGGGCTATTGGGCTATGGGGCACCCCAGGGCACCCGGGCACCCCCGGGCACCCGGGCCCGGCCACCGAAATCGGCCGCACACCGGGCACCCGGGCACCCGGGCACCCCTGGGCACCCGGGCCCGGCCACCGAAATCGGCCGCACCTCTCACCTAATCCTTTGATCCGCTAGGACCCCTATACAGAGGCAAGCTCTGTTTGGGGAACTTTCCCCAGATGGGCAAAAAGAGTCCAACAATCGCCCCCTGACTATCTGTTCACTGTCTTTGAATACTCCTCCTGTGGAGGAACAGGCCCGACTTGAGGGCACGGGCGGGCGACGGCCGAGACAGTGTGACCGGCACGCCGCCGCGGGGGAGGCCCCTCGGCGCGCCGCTGCTGGAGAGAAGCACGGGGCCCTCGCGCAAGAGCGGAGGAGCAACACTGCAGGGGCCCCAGGACACACAAACTCCTCCTCCTCCTCATCCTCCTCTCCTCCTCTCCTCCTCCTCCTCCTCCTCCTCCTCCTCCTCCTCCCTCCTCCTCCTCCTCCTCCTCCTCCTCCTCCGCTTCCTCCGCTTCCTCCCCCCAATCCTAGCCCTTTCGATCAGGGTCGGCGGCACCGGCCGTCAGGCCTCTCCAATAAATACACACAAATTAAATGTTTCCCCCATATTCTTCTAGATTTTCGGGGTTTTCGTCGCCCCCCCACTGCCCACCTTTCCCGACATGTTCGGGGAAATCGACGATTCATTGTGTCTGCGTGTTTTTTCTCCTCCTGAAGCACGCTGGCGGGCAGGGGGGATGTCCGTGGCTGGGGATGGCCTTGAAGGAAGCCAGTCGACTTTTCCAGGACCGGCCGCTCCTCCGGGGCAGTCTTTAGGCTCCTGATGTTCGAAATCAGCGAGAAGCCCCTGGCCTCTCCCGCAGGGCCCGTTTCTTCACGGCGAGAGGGAGGAGGAACGAAGGGGATGAAGCAGGATTGGCGACGCGCACAGGCGGGTAGGGGGAGGGGGATAGGCTTCGTAGAAGCTGGGGAGCTTCTCAGAAACCTTCCCCCATCCCATCCCTTTTCTGTGCGTGGGGCTGGGATCCGCCGCGCTCCCGTCTCCATCCGTGATCCTATTGGGCATCCGCTCCGGCCACAGCTATGACGGTGCTGCCACACACGCGCGCGCACGCGCTTCGCGCGCTGTGTCTGGCTCTGTCGCAGGACAAGGCAGCGCCACGCCGCAGTGAGCACGTCACGATGCATACCCAAACATCCGCCGATCTGTTTTTTGCTGCAATCCGCTGCCCTATAAAGGCCCCGGCGCCGCTTCCCTGGGGCCAACTTTTTCCACCCCAGATTGATTGTTGATGGCCCCGGGGCCTGGGGCCGAAATCGGGACAACGAGCACTGGGATTGACGAAACCAGGTCGTCGGAGGTGTGGGCATCGGACGCCGCCTCTGCAGCGCCTGCCGAGGACCCAGAGATCCGACGTCAGGATTTTGTTCAATACAGGCCCCCCGAAGTCTCGACCCCTTCCCCAGGACCAGTCTTTCAACCCATGAGTCGTTTTCAAAAACGATTCAAAGGTTGAAAAACGGGTCCTGGCCCGGCGAGGGCCGTCAAGTTTGACGGTCCCGAGGCCCGGCGAGGGCCCCCTTGGGGCCGAAATGTGCGAAAAACCTCCGCCCGGATTTGTTGTTCCATACGCTGGATCTCCGGGGACCTGCTCGAGGCCTGCCGGGAGAAGCGCTCATGCCTCTCCTCCTTCTTCGGCGGTGGACAAACCCCCCTCTAGCAAACCTCCCCTCAGTGAGAGACGGCCGGGGACCGAAACCGACGCACCCGGAACCTCACAAACGACGGCCGCGACGCCCGCTCGCGAACCGAAAACGGCTGATTCCTCCATCGACGTGTCAGGGTCCCAGACCCCCGACGTCGTGACTTTTTCATGACGCGACCCCCAGAGTTCCGGACCTATTCGCTGGGACCGGTTTTTCACCCCGAGTCGTTTTTTGACGGTCCCGAGGGCCGGCAAAGGCCCCCAGAGGCCGAAAACATAGAAAATCCTTCCGTCGTGATTTTTTCATGACTCGAGGGGGATCTGGGGTAGGAGGCCGATCCACCTGCGACTTCTGCTGGTCGCTGCGCCGCGGCCGCGCTGCCCGGCGGGCGCCGCCTGCGCTCCCCGGCCGCCCCTCGCGCTGGGCCGGCGGCCGCCGGCGCACAGCGAGCACGCTCGAGCGCCGCGCCACGCTGCTGCGGCGGGGAGCTTTGCGCAGGGGGCGACCGCCCCGGCAGTCCTACAGGCCCTCCACGGCGGGTCCTCCCAGGCAGGATCGTGTCGCGCCAAAAAAACATCAGGACGGGAGGTTGGGGGCCATTTTCGGCCCTGGAGGGCCCTCGCCGGGCCTCGGGACCGTCGAAAGACGATTCGGGACGAAAAACGGGTCCCGGGGAAAGGGTCGGGACTTCCGGGGACGCCGTCCTGAAAAAATCAGGGCGTCGCATGTCTGGGCTTAGAACCCAAACATGTTCTAAAAACGAAAAACGACATTCTTAGAGCATGAACCCGCTGGGCTAAAACAAGACCGTGCCACCCAGAACTGTTCTAAGAGTATGTCGTGCAGACCACAGAAGGTTCTGAGAACATCCTTTGGTGGGCCCATGGGCGAGCCAGGACGCTTCGCCACTGCTTGAGAACCGTGGCCTCGCGTGTCGCAACGGCTGGTCGCTCGCTTCACCTGCCATTTTCTTCCTGCTGCCTAGTCGCGGCCCGACTAGAATTTGGACGGCTTTCGACACGCCTCGCGAGCCTGTTGACCAACAAGTGTCGCGACGGCGGCCCCCGCGACACGCCGGCGCCCTGCACGCGGGCAGCGTGCCGCTCCCTCCCAGCGGAGCTCCCAGGAAACCGCGCGGCGACAGACCGCGCGGTGACCTCGGAACCCCAAGGGACCCCACCGCACGGTCCGTCTCCGCTCGGTCCTGGGACCCTGGAGGCCCCTTCTCCTCCTCCTCCTCCTCCTGCTCCTCCTCCTCCTCATCCCTCCTCCCTCCTCCCTCCTCCCTCCTCGTTCCTCCATCTCCTCCTCCTCCTCCTCCTCCTCCTCCTCCTCTCCTCCTCCTCCTCTCTCCTCCTCCTCCTCCTCCTCCTCCTCCTCCTCCTCCTCCTCCATCTCCTGTCGCCCGCGACGTCCTGGGAGAGGGACTCGGGCCCCAAAACCGCGCGGTGACCCCGAGTCCCCACCGACTCACCACACGGTGTGGTGACCGCCCCGCTGGGGGGCTGACCCTCGGGCACCGGGCCGTGGCCCGCGCGTCGCGCCGAGGCGCAGTGGGCCAGAACCGGCGGCGCGACACGCCAATAGTCAGGCCAAACTTGGCGACCGCAAGCTGCTGCGCAGCCGCAGTCTCTGGGCCCTGCTGGCCAGACCTCAGAGTCTCGCGGACCGACCTTTGCAGCTCGTGCGCGCCACTCGGGCATCTGCAGGGGCGTTTTTGTTCGGGCCCCACGGGGCCGCCAGAGAGAGCGACCAGGAACAGCCGGGGGGATGTAAATCGGGGTAGGGGCAGAGGAGGGATACAGGACCATCGCTCGAAACGGCTGCTGGAGTAGGGAGATTTACGCATCCAGCGGGGTTTCCAGACCCCCGACGTCGTGATTTTTTCTTGAAGCGACCCCCAGAGGTCCGGACCTATTCGCCGGGACCGGTTTTTCACCCCGAGTCGTTTTTTGACGGTCCCGAGGGCCGGTAAGGGCCCCCGAAACCGAAAACATAGAAAAACCTCCCGTCGTGCTTTTTTCATGACTAGGGGGGGGAGGAGGAGGAGGAGGAGGAGGAGGAGGAGGAGGAGGAGGAGGAGGAGGAGGAGGAGGAGGAGAGGAGGAGGAGGAGGAGGAGGAGGAGGAGAGGAGGAGGAGGAGAGGGGAGAGGAGGAGGAGGAGGAGGAGAGGAGGAGGAGAGAGGAGGAGGAGGAGGAGGAGGAGGAGGAGGAGGAGGAGGAGGAGGAGGAGGAGGAGGAGGAGGAGGAGGAGGAGGAACGACAGTAGAGAGAGGAGGAAACGAGGGAGGAGGAGGAGGAGGAGAGGAGGGAGGGAGGGGGAGGAGGAGGAGGAGGAGGCGGAGGAGGAGGAGGAGGCGGCTGCCATCGGGCGTCCTACGCCCTGCTTCCGGCCAGCCCCCCCCCCCCCCCCCCCCCGAAGCATGTCGGCCCGCCGCTCCGCCCCTCGCCACGGGCCGCCCTCTGCAGCGGGCGCCTCGCGCCTCCGCCACCGCGCGCGGGCCGCCGAGCCACCGGGCGCCCGTCGGCGGCGCAGGCCTCGAGCCCGGCCCAGGGGCCTCACCCGCCGGGGCGGCGCGCCCGGGCCGCGCGCGGGCCGCCGCGGGGCCGGGGGCCGCGCGGGCCGCCGCAGGTCACCGGGCGCCCGTCGGCAGCGCAGCCCTGGAGCCCGCGGCCTTGACCGCCGGGGAGGTGCCCGGGACGTGGCCGGGCGTCTTGTCCCCGGGCGGGCGCTCCTGTTGGGCGCCCGAGTTATCCGGGGTAACTCGGGTCCGGGGTAACGCGGGTTTGGATTCCCGAAAAACGAACCCGAGTTAGCCCTGACCCGAGTTACCCCTGATGATTTGGGGCTCTGGACGCCCGAATTATCCGGGGTAACTCGGGCCCGGGGTAACTCGGGTTCGGAATCCCGAAAAACGAACCCGAGTTAGCCCTGACCCGAGTTACCCCTAGTTGGGGCTCTGATCCTGCGGCGGGTACATGCTCTGCACGCGCGCGAGGAACTGGCTGCGGCGCTCCTCGTGCTCCAGGCCGGCGTCCCAGAAGGACTTCCGGGGGGCCCGCTGGGCCTTCGCGCGGCGGCGGGCCGAGGGCGGGGGGGGAGAGCTCGAGGCTCTAGGTCGAGGCTCGAGGTTCGAGGTTCGAGGTTCTAGGTCGAGGCTCAGGGTTCGAGGAGGGCCCAGACCCCCGACGTCATGACTTTTTCATGACGCGACCCCCAGAGGTCCGGACCTCTTCGCCGGGACCGGTTTTTCACCCCGAGTTGGTTTTTGACGGTCCCGAGGGCCGGTAAGGGCCCCCGGAGGCCGAAAACATAGAAAAACCTCCCGTCGTGCTTTTTTCATGACTAGGGGGGGGAGGAGGAGGAGGAGGAGGAGGAGGAGGAGGAGGAGGAGGAGGAGGAGGAGGAGGAGGAGGAGGAGGAGGAGGAGGAGGAGGAGGAGGTGGAGGAGGAGGAGGAGGGGGAGAGGAGGAGGAGGAGGAGGAGGAGGAGGGGGTCTGGGAGTGCCGCGTTCGAGGCTCGAGGTTCTCGGGCGCCTTCGCGTCGGTGCTCGGCGGCTCTCCGGCCGCGGGGGGTGCTTTTTCCAGCGGCGGCGCCTCGCCGAGAGGCGCCCTGCAGGGGTGCCCCGATCGGCCCGAGCGGCCACCCTCCTCCTCCTCCTCCCCCTCCTCCCCCCCTCCCTCCTCCTCTCTCTCCCTCCTCCTCCTCTCCTCCTCCTCTCCTCCTCCTCTCTCCCTCCTCCTCCTCCTCCTCCTCCTCCTCCTCCTCCTCCTCCTCCTCCTCCTCCTCCTCCTCCTCCTCCTCCTCGAGGGTGCCCTGGAGAGCCAGACGAGGGTGGTCGTTGAGGGGGGCAGGCCTTCTCAGAACGCGGCGGGGCTTCTCGGGAGCCCTCATGGCCTTCTGGGAAGCCGCCCGCGGTTTCGAGGAGGGCTCAGAGAGCTCCTCAGAAGGCCCGAGGCCGTGGGAGTCTTCTGAGAAGACAGGACCCCTGTGCCTTGCCCCCTGGGCTCGCCACTGGCCTTCGGGTCGGGCTTCTTCGGGGTCCTCCACAAGGTCTTACTGGATCCTGCACCAGGTGTGCGGTCCTCCACAGGTTCGTACTCGTCGAACTGGCGGCGAAGGACCTCGCGGCCTTTGTGCAGCATGAGGAGCAGCTCCCTCTCCCTCTCGTCTGGCCCTGGCGGGTCACTCGAGGGGGCGTCGCCGCCAATCTTCTCCTCGATTCTCGCCTTCACCTTGTTCAGGTCTCTGGCGTCCTCTTCCGACAAGTCGGGGAAAAGCTCTCGAACAAAGCTCACGGTGATCTGTGGCACTTGCAGCAGAGCCACTTTGCCAGCCTCGTAGTCAACCTTCTGTCTGGCGTCGCCCACCTTCACAGTGTTGTACCACTTCGAATAAGGCGACCACGCCCAGAAGTTGAGAAAAGCCACAGCGGCCATGACATATATTCGGAGCGAGGCGTCTATCAGATTGCTCTGGTCTTCCGTCATGCTGACAAAGTCGCGGATGATAGCCATCACGATCTGCAGCCAGAACGAGAAAGCTATCATTATCTTGATGGTCCAGAACTTGATCTTTGGCTGGAAGTTGTGTTTGTGCAGCTGCTTTTCGAAGATGATCTCGATCTTCAAAATGCAGTATATGGCAATCATTGACACGCACCAGAGGGCCCCCTTCTGGAGACCAGCGATAGTTTCCAGGAAGTTCCAGTGCTTCGTTGGGTCGAAATTACCGCGCCACATGCACCACGTGTTCATGACGGTGTAGACAGCCCCAGCGATACACACGAACACAAAACCCTGGAGGTTCACCTTTAACAGGAAACCGAAGCTCTCCCCTACTTGCCGACCTTCACCATGGTGAAGGTTCATTTCCTCAACCAGCACTGTCACGATGAGCTCCACATACTGGTACAGCGCCCATGCCTCGTACATGTCCGCCAGCGCGAAATTCGACTCGAAGGCTTCCCTCTGCGTGGCCTTCGCGAAGGTGAGCGTGGTGTTCGTGACGAGAGACGCCACACTGGCGGCCTCGTCCTGGTCGTGGCAGAAGAGGAGGCCCGGCAGGTTCCCCTGCGTCGACGACGCCGACATGTTGTTGAGCATGTATCGGACGTTGATTGCGGACAGCAGCCCGTAGACCATCGGCAGCAGCAGCACCTGAATGGCTACGTCGCGCGGGCGGGTGATGAGAGCAGCGCCAACCGCAAAGACCTCGCAGGACACGCACCGGTCGCCGAAGTGGAACATGACCTGGAAGAAGATCTGCAGCATGGCGAGGACGTAGATGAACCCCACAGCCTTCAGGGAGCAGCCGACCATCAGGTGCGGCACGCTGCCCATCTGCTCCTCCACCGACCTCATCTGGTTCGGCACCTCCGTCAAGCTCTTCAGGTCGAAGATGCCATACCCGTACGTTCTCTGCATCAGGCCCGACTCCGAGACGAACATCCAGATCAGCACCAGCAGTGATGGGACCCACCACTGCAGGATCGTCTGCAGCAGGAGGCGGTAAACTGAAGTACTGATCTGTTTGAACAGCTCGCAACTGCACTTCATGATCTCCCTGGTGCACGCCAGCAGGCAGCGGCAAAAGAGCCAGATGCACGTTGCCAGGCAGCTGCCGCAAAAAGCACACACGCAGCCGATGCCACTGGCGACGCATCCCAGGCACTTCCGGCACATGTTACCAGCATTCCTGCAGCAAGACTGCGCCCGCTGCGCGGAGAACTGCCGGCCCACCTCCTCGCCGCCAGACTCCACGAAGTCCTGCTGCGGCTCCTCCAGCAGTGGTCCTGCCGTTTCTGCCCTCTCCCTGGGTGTGGGCGGCCGGGCGCCCCCGCTCTTCGCCTTCAGCTCCCCCTCCAGTTTCTCCACCTTCGACAAGCGCGTTCCACCCCTCGAAGAGCAACCAGTCGCAGCTGGCCTGGATCCGCCGCAGGGGACCTATAGATCCATTGCGCCGAAGCAGACACGTGCTTCTCGGACGCTTGCGAGTGGGAGCTCTGCGAGTTCGTGGAACGCGCTCGCGAGGACGCCTTCTCCAGGGCCTGCTGCAGCTGCTCCTGCAGCCTCTGCGTCTCCTCCGCCTCCGCCGCCCGCCTCTCCGGGGCGGCGCCCTCTGGCCTGCCTGGCGCCCTGCCCGAGTCCGAGGAGGCCCGCGACCTGCCCGGGTCGTCGGGCGCCGGGGCCCGCGCCGTGGCCGCCAGCCCGTCCGCGGCCCGGGCCGCCGAGCCCCCACAGGGCGGGGAGAAGGGCAGCTTCAGGTCCAGCCTGGTCCACTCGGCCGAGCTCTTCCGAGCGTGGGCCCCCAGGCCCCAGATGAGGCCGAAGAGGATCAGGGACGAGGCCGCCGCGTAGCCCCAGAAGGGGCAGAGCACCACGGCCTGCACGCTGGTCGAGGTCACGGGCACGTAGCCGCACAGCAGGCCGCCGAGGCGAGAGTGGTTCAGCCACCGCCACCTGCACGCCATCTCGGGCGCGCCGCGGATTGACCAGGTGCTGCCCGCGACTGCGGCGCCGCAGGTGCCCGCGCCCCACGTCGAATGCGACGGCACCGCGCTGGAGTTCCTGCCCGCGCCGGCGCCCGCGCTGGCGTTGGCCGCGGCACCCGCGCCAGCCCTGATGCCGATGCCGGCGGCGGCGCTGGCTCTGCCGCTGCCGCTGGCGCTGGTGCCGGCGGCGGTGCTGGCGCTCTCCCCGGCGCTGGTGTTCATGCCGGCATGCGCATCGGCTCCGGCGGCGGTGCCTGCCCTGCCTCGCGCGCGGCTGGCGTTGGCCATGGTGCCCGCGCCGGCGCTGGCACTTGCCCTGGGGCTGCCGCCGGCAGCGGCCGCGTGGCTCGCGCTGGCGCTCCGCGGCGCCCGGGCAGGCGCCGGCGGCGCGCGACGGCGCTCGCCGCTCGCCAGCGGCGGCGCTGCCGCGCGCAGCGAGGGCCCCGGGGCTGGCGCCGGTGCCGCCGGGTGTGCCGCGGCCGCTCTGGGCGCGGCGAGAGCCAGCGCGACCGCGCCGAGGCTGGCGCGAGCGGCGGCGCGCATGGCGGGCGCCCGCCGCGTGGCGGCAGCCGCTCGGCGCGAGGCGCGCCGGCGGTCTGCGCCCGCGGTCGCGCCCGCGGCTGGGCCGCCGCGGGCGGCGGGGCCGCCCAGCTCTATAGGCACAAGGAGCAGCGGCACCACCAGCAGCAGGGACCACCAGCGGGAGGAGCCAGGGGGGATCCCCTATATAGGTGGTGCGGTCTCCCCCTCTCGCGCGAGATGCTCCCTGTCCCCAGCTCGGGGAGGCATCGTGGACCTCCTCGATGGAGGTGGCACCCCTGGTGGTGGTGGTGTGGCTCCTCCTTCCCCCCAAGCTCGCCCACCTGCGCGGTCGGCGCTGAGCTGGGCCGGCACGGGCAGACAACACCTCGAGCCAGGAGCGGTTGCGGAAAAGGGAGGCCAGCTGCCCGTCTTCGTGGTGGGGGGGGGGGCGTCCAATGAGGGGGGCGCCCGAGAGGGGGTTCGCAAATGACGGCCCGAGGCACGAACGAGACTCCCGGGGGGGGCCACGGGACGTGTTGAGATGAGAAAAGGCAGCCATGAAATCCGCGGAAACATCATGGCCCCGGCCATGACATGCACCCCCATCTTGGACGCCACTGGAATATGGGGGGAGAAGGATTCGGAAACGAACTGGTGCCGTTGACGTACCTCGCGAAGGCGCGGCTTTCACCGAAGCGTGAGACGGAAGACGGCCAGCTACAACAGGAAATCCTACGAGCTACCCAGCCGTAGGCGAGCATACAGCCATAGGTGAGCATACAGGCCAGCTGTGCTTCTTCGCATTTGTCACGCTTGATGTTTCCAGCCTCTGACATGCCTCTGCGCTGCTTATAGCACCCACTCCGAGGGCCCTTGCAATTGCGAGGGTCACGCGACCATGCGCAGCACGCCATCTTGCTCTGGCGTTCTCGCGAGGCCTCCGACTGACTCCTCGTCCGCGACTGTGCCGCATTCGAACTACCAAATTTGTTCGACGGAGTCGAGGAGCGAGGCCGGTCACAATCGCCATCGTCATCATCATCGTCATCGTCAGCAGCATCATGCTCACCGCCAACGCCATCGACATCATCATAGTCGTCGTCATAGACATCGTCTTCGCCATCATGACCATAAGCACAATCATGGTCATCGCCAGCATCGTCATCGTCATCGCCATCGTCACCATACGTCGTGCTTACAATCGTCGTCATCGGATGCGTCATCGCCATAACCAGCATCATAGTAATCGCCATTTTTATCATCATCATCATCGTCATCATCATCGTCGTCATCGTCATCATAATCAGCAGCATTATCCTGGGAGTCATCGTCATCGTCATCATCATCATCGTAGTCATCGTCATCGTCATCATCATCATCATCATCATCATAATCATCATCATCATCATCAGCATCATCATCATCATCATCATCATCATCGTCGCCATCGCCATCGTCATCATCGTCATCATCATCGTCATCGTCGTCGTCGCAATCATCATTCTCACCATCTCGCATCAGAACCATCATCATCATAAGCATCATCCTCATCGTCATCGTCATCGGCATCATCGTAGTCATCGTCATCGTCATCGTCATCATCGCCATCGTCATAGTCGTTATCGCAGTTATTACCGTCGTCACCATCACCATCATTATCAGCATAATCATCGTAAGCATCATCATCAAGGGCATCATGTCCTAATTCTCTTCCCGAGTCATCACAACCATCATCATTGTCCTCATCATCATCCGCATCACTATCATCATCTCCACCCGTATCATCATCATCATCATCATCATCATCATCATCATCATCATCATCATCATCATCATCATCATCATCATCATCATCATCATCATCGTCGTCGTCGTCGTCGTCGTCGTCGTCGTCGTCGTCATAATCATAATCAACTTACTCATCCTCATCGACATCATCATCATCATCGCCATGGCCACCGCGATTCGCATGTCCATCATCATCAGCATCGTCATCATCGGCATCATCATCAGCAGCATGAGCATCAGCATCAGCATCATCACCATCATCAGCATCATAGTCATCGTTACCATCGTCATCACCGTCGTCATCATCGTCATCAGCGTCATCACCATCATCATCATCGCCATCGTTATCGTCGTCGTCATCGTCGTCATTAGTGTCATCGTCATTGTCATCGGCGGCTCCTTGTAGCAGTAGCCGATGCACTGCAACGTCATGCCGCCGACAGGGGTGGGCCGTAGGTCTTCGCAGAGGACCTCGGCAGAAGCCGCCGACGTCGTCGTCCTCGTCCTCATCCTCATCCTCCTCCCTCACTCCCCCTTCTCGTCTCGAGTAGAGTATTTGAGGACATGGACTGGCTGCGCTCAATACACGTTAAGATGCGCGACATGCCCAGTCCGAAGGACGACTTTGCCCGGTGGGAACAGCACATTTTGTGCTCACTATCAGCATGGAGGCGCACGCTGAACGCCGACATGAGAGCTGAGGCGAAGGCCCAGGCACGAGCTGCCCTGGCACAAAAAACCTCAGACACCTTTTTCGAGATGGTACGGAAAGCTAGGGTACCCGTGTCAATCACAGATCCGACACATGCCCTCTTCCCTACTCCTGCTCCGACTCCCGAGTTACTATGTATGTGGTGTACTCATCAAGCAACTACTGCCAAGGGACTCCGACAACACATCCTACGTACACACTACGGCTTCGTGGATATAGTATCAAGATTCATGGGAGAAGGATCCTTATGCATGTCATGCTCCACATATGTATCCAACAGGCGGGCCCTACGCAATCATCTTGCATACGACGCCCCACGCGGTTGCCTCGCTTATTTTTTGCACGGCAAGGTGCTCAGTGCCGACAGAGCCGAGGAGCTCAAGCAGCAAGAGGTCAAGGACCTCACACGACCAAAAAGAGCAGGTCTCGGGCGCTGGAGGAGCGCCTATCCCTGCACGAGTGATCATACCGCCTGACGGATTACACCCCGCCGCCATGCTAGTGGCCTCCCACTACACGGACAAAGAAGCGAGAGAGATATTACGCACTCCAGGAGCACGTGATGAATTTACCCAGGAGGCTCTCTCCCAGCATCCAGCACTGCTTGCAGCTTCCGAGGAGACCACACCAATAATACCAAAATATGCCGACAGATGCTGGATATACCAACCCCAGGACTACACAGGATGGGCGAAGGAAAAGGTCTCTTGTCGTACCCATCGCACCACCATCTTCATTCTCAACTTATTCTCAGGCCAGCGACGACACGGAAACATCCAGACGTGGATGGAAGGTCACTACACGACGACACACTAGAAGTTGTCATGCTCAGCGTGGACATAGCCATCAGTGCAGAGCTAGGTGACCTTACCAGACGGACCACAATTGACACATGGGCAGAGCATATCCTGGCCAGGAGAGTGTGGAATACGGGGGGGGGGGCCACCATGCGAATCATGGAGCGCAGCCAGATGGCTGGATGGGGGCCCTCCCCCACTCAGAACACATGCCTGGGTATTGGGGCTGCCTGCCGTGACCGACGGACAATCCCAGCAGCTTGATGTGAGCAGCAGTCCTCTATGGAGCACCGTTCATTTGATCGTCTGCCATGAAGGCGGGCACGAGCGCTTGGATTGAGCACCCAGAACCAGCATGGTGGTGTTCTCAAGCCCCCTCGAACTTCTACTGGGAACCACCGGAGGCCCTACAATCCAGTCCAGCGTGCTACACCGCCAACTTCGACCAATGCGTCCATCACGACTGTAGCCCAAAGATCATCGGCACGGCCCCCACAAGGCTCCTCGGGTTCCGCATGCCCACGTTGGCCACCAACCTGCTCAGTGCTGTTGCTCGTGGACTTTGCAATCACCCCAGAGGATCTCATCCCTCGCTGCATGGAAAGGACGAACGAGGGAAGTTTCATACGAGTCGAAAAAAAACATACCCGACAAGCATGTGCAGGCACATTGCCTCAGCTATTGCAGATACGATCCAGTCCCAGCTTGCCTCACCTACAGACTGTGACGTCGATGCAGAGGACCCCGACCCAGCTCTGGTTGAAGATCTCTGGATTTTTTATTGCAAAGAGATAGGAGATGAATTTGCCGTTGCGCCAGACTTTGCCCGCCAGGAACACAGTCGCCAACGGGTAGATCCGAAAGGCACAGGTTCCAGACAGATCACGAGCAGTACGAGGTTGATCCGACTCCTGCTCCCGATCCTACCCCAGCTCCTGAGCCACCACCTCCTCCCCTTTTTCCCGGGGACCCGAGCACAGAGCATGAGGTAGAGGAATTGGTATGGTCTCTTCCCCTTCCCTCTTCCCTCTTCCCTCCCGCCTCCCCCGCCCCCTCTCACCGCCGAGCAGCTCGCCCGTATAGCTGCCAACCAGAGGGAGGCCAAGCTCAGGAGGGAGGCCAAGCGAGCTGCTGAACATCGGCAGCGTGCGCCCTGGCAGGGCACCCTCCACTTCTCCTTCGGCCCCCCCCCACAGGCGGGCCATCTTTCTTTTTGCATGTAGCATATAGCAGCATGCGGCAGTCAGAGCTCAGACACCATGTCTCATGCCACCGTGCCACCACCACCTCCTCGTCTCTCCTCCTCCCTCCTCTTCTTCCTCCTCTTCCTCATCCTCCTCCTTTCTCCCCTTCCTCCTCCTCCTCCCTCCTCCTCGTCCCTCTCAAGGCGCCGGCGACAAGAAGGCGGCCCTTCTTTGCCGTGGCGGAGGGTTCAACTCCCTCGCACCATGGGCTCATCTCACAGGTTT